AATAAAATAAAATAAAATAAAATAAAGAAAAAGTCTAAGTTTCCCAATTTTCTCTTCGAAACCGACCGTAATGTTAATTGTTATAGGTGCAACAGGTTTAAGTGAAAAGTTATGTTTCACAAATTCAGAGGTCTCTTCGACTTTCTTTTTCCTTGGCAGTAACCCTTCATCATCACTTGAAACTTTTGCAGCTGCAGCTTCCTTTTCGTCCTTGTCTTGTGAGCGTTGCAACCTTTGGCAAAAATCTAAAAAGCATAAAATCGTGATCTAGGGAAATACAGTCAACAGAACTTCCTCAAAATTGTTCCACATACCAACTAGCTGGTCGACAGACTGCATGCCCGCTTTCATACGCGAAATAACTTCAGGTGCTGCGTTAGGCAAATAACCGAGCTGTAAACAACTCGTGGCTTAAAGTATGTAACAAATTTCGCGAAATAGACATGAAATTAAAAGTATAGCATACCTGAGCCATTTGAGCAGCATTTTTTTGTGCAATTTCCAAGAGTTTCTTCTTGTCAATTTTATGTTCCCCCGAAGAATGGCCACTCGAATTGCTACGACTGCGACTTCTGCTTGGCCACCTTGAACTACTTGAACTATGATTTCGAGTCCTAATAAAACAGAATATATAGCCCTAACGAAATAAATGGAGTAAATGGCAGCATAATCATCAGAATACGACTAGATCACCGACCTAGAACGAGACCTTGAGTATGATCTACTTCTTCTGTACCCGGATGACGAAATGCTCCTCCGCCTATGATGCCGGCGTTTTTCCTCCATACGTCGTCTATAACTCCATATAAAAAAGCATTTTTAAAAATGTACCAAATACTGTCAGCAAAAAGTATCAGAGATCAATTCCACCAGGAAAAAATTACAAAACCACTCTATATTTCGCATGCCTTGTGCTTTCTACTCTCCAGGACTTCTCCCTTTGATTAGATAACCTCTTTTCACGAATGCTGCGACTATTGAGCACCTCGAACCCAACACCTACATAAGTACTTATTAAAAACTGCTTGACAGAAAATAAAGGTTTTGTGAGCAAAATAAATACTTATGGCAAGAAAAATATTAATACCTCGACGTCTGAATGACTTATAATCACCAGCCCCCGCAACATACCGGAAGTTATTCCCTCTAGGAGAACTGCAAATAACATTCAGTAACTAAACTTGAACGCAGTCAAAGCCAACGTAATCTCAAGATTCTATTAAAAAGAAGACTAACATCGTGTCGTAATGTAATTTCTGACGCTTCCTTAACCTCTCCCACTCCTTCTCACTATCCGATGAGGAAGATGCTTGATCGCTTTGCTTTTTCTTTTCTTTTTTCCTTTTCTTCTTCTCCTTTTTCTTTCGTTTATCTGTAGATGTCGAAACATAACAGAAAAACCGTATAAAGAAATATATATCTGAATCTAACCATGTTTTGTTTTTCGAATATCCTTCCAATCTTTCTGATCATCTTCGCCGCTTTTATTGAGCCGCTCTTCCTCATCGCTACAAACGAGATCATCTTTTTCCACAGTACTGTCCTCACTAACTGGCACCTCGCCACTGTGCTCCGTAAAGGCATGCTTTTCGCTAAGTTTTTTTGCAGTCAACTAAACACGATGGAAATAATACTCGTCAAATACAGCTTTTACTTGATTACACCAAACAGTAGAAATACCTGACTGAGTGAACCAAATTTAATAGTTTTTGGTAATGATAAATCAGTTTTTCCGCTGAAAGTCGCTCCGTCATCTTCGTCATCAGATATCGGTAATGGACCAGATGAACATGGAGCTTGTACTGGTCCATATTCTACGCTCTCACTCCCTAAAATAACTATTTCCTCAGAATGCAGATTTATATTGCTAATTTTAATTTAAAGTACTATATGAAAGCATCGTTAACGACTCAAAAGGAAGACCAAAATAAAATTGGCACAGTATTGCTGCAAATTCC